AGCAGGAAATGTTATATAATTTCTATCCTCTGATGGCTGGATATCAGCAGTTACCATCTCTTCATGTTAACCTGCTGCGATTCCCAAACTTCACTAATCAGCTGCTCAGACGATTCATACCGACACATATTTTTGTAAAGGTAAGACTGTGAGAAGTGCCTTGTCTTTAAAGGCTCCCTGGGGGGCTGCTCAGTTTTTGGGCAATACCACCCCAGCTCTGCTCAAAGCTGAGTGTTTCTAAACAGCCTAAAATGGCCAGATTGTGACAGAGTTAATTTATTTTAAAAAAATCTTGGGTTGTACATCGGTGCTGTCAAGCGAAATCCTTAGGAAATCTGTTGAAGTGCAACAGGTGTGTGGTTACAATGAGATGAACTAGCTGAATGTGCTTAGCTTGTCCCTGTTATTCCATGCCTTGATCTGTAAAATGAGTTGTAAAGTTGTCTCCATTTTGAGTACAATGGAGTGAGCTAAATGTAATGAAATACTTTAATACCATCATTTGTAGCACTCCTGGAAAAAAAGAGGTATTTGAGCAACCCATGTGACTAGGTTCTGAAACACTGTAGCATTCCCCACCTCCCTAAATAACTTCTGAAAAAACACGTCCTCTCAGCAAATCACTCATTCTAGACTTCTTTCTTAAGTGGTACAACTCTGAAGGCAGTTCAGTCGTGTAACGAAAAATAGATCACAGGCTTCTTTTGACTTTTTAAGAATCGTTCAAATCCAGTTGCCCAAAACATTGCTTTCTCAGTGCACTGCTGCTGTCTCCAGAATATTGTATTCACTTTTTAGTCAAGCTTGGCAATCAAGGCGCCTGAAGAGTTTGTTTATATGACTTGAGATGGACTTGTTCAGACATCTGTAATCCTGTTTCCAGGAAACGGGCCTGGCCTTCTTTCAGTTTTGTTTTAGCCAAAAGAGATAGGCAGAGCTTACTTTTGCATATGCTGTCAATCAGTGGCTCTTCTAGATTGGTTGTCAAGATGTCCTCCTAAGTCAATAGAAAAGGCTTTTTTCCTCAAAAGCGTGGAGTTCTCAACGCTCCTGTGGAATCTCTTGGGCTTCAGAATTCTTTGTTTTTGCTTTGGAGTTGTCAGGACCTCAAAAAGCCTTATTGTAAGGATGCCTTTTCGTTAAAACTTCCTCCTTGCTCTCTCCCATCTCTAGTGCTTCTGCTTAAAATTCCTCCAAGAAACTGTCAGTCTCGTTCCTGTTTTATTGATAATTATCAGCTTGTACTGCAGTAATACTCAGAACTCTGATCAGCCAGGCCTTGTGCTAAGCTGTCCAAACGTGTGTGGAGATGCTCTTGGCATTTCATGGGGCAGTTAAGGAGCTGAGGCTTCTACCAAGTCCTCTCGGGGCCAAACTGACGTTCCAGGTGGATGTCCTCTGTGTTTCTGCTACCGTTGGAAACCCCTAGAAGTAAGGATAGGTTTAATGCCATGCTTGTGTGTTAGAACTACACCGATCAACACAATGTATTGCAAACTGAGTTTCATAATAGCCTCAGTCTTTTGTGTTTTGTTTTTGTTTTTTTTTTATTAATTCTCTGTCTTTATTTTCTTAAAGCCTCAGGGTCGTCAAGCAGATGATAACTCAATTGCGGCTGCGTAACTTTGAGACCTGTACCTCTGCACTTAAAGAAAATGGAATGTTGCACAGAATATGTAAAGCTTACTTTGGAAACACGGCTTTGATCAAACCACAAGAATTAAATTTTATTCTTAAATTACAAATCCTAGCAGAACTAATGTTATAAAACTAGTCTTTCGTAGACTTTCTTTAAGGAATAAACATATGAGGAAAACTTGGTGCTTTATTTAACAGGAACGTTCTTTTGAAGTTAACTTTGAATGTCAAACTCTTAAAAGTATTATTAAGGCATATTAAATGTCTTGAGTATTTAAGTGAAGGAAATGCTAATTCATTTGACCAAAACTGAAAGATGTTTTCATAATTAACAGTAAGTTGAAGTGCAAAGTTTGTACTTGCTCTTGGAGATCTACAACGTTGAAGATGGTCATCCTTTACAGAAGTCTGTTCTGTGCCGCTTGTGTTGAGGGCAGAACAGGGTGTGCAGTAGTACAGTAAACTACAAATGGTTACGTTGAACTGTTGGAATTGAGTGGCTTACTAGTTTTTTAAAACCATAAATCTAAAAGGCACTATTTCTCCTGGGTAAGCCATACATCCGAATTTGACTTCAGCAGCTAGTCTAATGAATAGGGAGATTCTAACAGCTGGACTATCCAACCTCAAGTTGATACAGCTTGGGGGTATTTTTACACACACGGCTTCCAGATTAAAAGTATGTCTTTGTAGTCTCCTGCTGTGTGAATTTAAAAAATGGACATCCTACTGTTGTACAGCTCTGGTTGAACTGGTGTTTAAAATACAGTAAATCATGTATATATAAAAAAAAATGCATTGTGAAAATTTCAGTTGTTTAACTTTCTAAATAATTACATTTTGATTGCTTGGGAAATACCTTATTTATTGTCAAAGTGAAGTTCTAATAAACAGCTTGTAACAGAGTACTTCTGAAACGGTGTCCTTCATTGCATCGTTTTCACAGCCATTGCTTTATAACTCTGGTCTGTCTTGTGGACCAAAACATTCATTTGTGGCACTGAAGTCCAAAATAACAGCTGTAATACTTGGAAAAAAGCATGAGAGAAGGATGCAAATATTCCTTACCAGTGAAAGAACTGTAGACTAATTGTCAGTCGTGAAAAAATATGCATGAGCATATTCAGCTTTTCTGTGGAGTGCAGATGTAGTTATATTATGTGAGGGGGTTTTGAGTATATAGAGGAGGAAAGGGAGATGACTGACAAACCATGCTGGGAAGAACAAGTGAAACCTTCCTTATTCTTTACTTAAATATCATGAACTAAGTGGCAGTCATGGAATAGGTATCTTATCTCTTTTTCTTTTTTTTGAGTGGAAAATTTTTCATTTCCAGGGATGTGGGGTTTTTTTGTTTGGTTTTTTTTTTCCTTTGAAGTAGCCACTCAGATTACAGCAGCTCTGGTACCTCCACTACTGCTTCTTAAAAGACATGTTGATGCAAGTGGTGGAAGTGTTTAGAGAACTAGGGTCCCGTCCCCCCGGTCCCGTGTCCGTCCGTCCGTCCGTCCCCCCCCCCCAAAAAAAAAGTGATTTGCATTCCTTTGAGAAAGGGGAGGGTATAAAATGCTTTCCTGGTTACAATGATATTACAGTCTTAAGTGAATTTTGTAAATAGGTTTCTACTTAAAATGATGAGTAGTTAAACTAGGAACTGTATACAAATAATATAGAAATACAGAAATGAAAATTTATCTCACACCATGGAAAAAAATTGCTTGCTACTTTAGCATAGTTATAATTTCTATCCTTTTTTTTTTTTCCATTCACAAAGAGAATTTTTTCTTGGTTTGTGTGATCTTACTGTTGCTGTAAACACTACAAAGCAAAGATATTTTTTGTCTTGGTTGTCTGTAAAGTGCTAGGCACACCTTTTATGCTATGTAAATGACTGATGTGAATGAAAACATGCAGCAAGCAGGAACCACCTTGTTAAAAATGCTTGAGAAGTGATTAATGATGACTATCTGCCTGACTCATGAGACTCTAATGCTGAGGGGGGAACGTTTGTGATTCATAACCCAAATCCCTTTGGAAGTCTTGAGGAGATAAAAAGGGCACATATACTTCAGTGTAAGTGCAGGTTTTTTTATCCTTTATTCTATTTTGATGAGCACCACTCAAACTTCAACATATACTACTTAAATGTAGGCTATTTTAATTGGAACTAATTAAGCCTCAAAGACAAGAGAAGCTACTTTTAGACCAGTTTAAAAATAGCTTTCAGGGGAAAAAAGTTTGAGATCAACATGTTCAGACTGCTACTTAGCCCCAGCAATATCGTTTCCACCCCTTTTATGTTACTAAGTGTGTGAGAGGGGAAGAACGTGTCCCATCACTGCAGATCTCCTGGCCTACCGTGAAGTCTGGAGCAAAGAAAGGTACTCCATCCCTTCTTCATTGCTTCTGACCAATAAACTCTAGTTATGAGAAGTTCAGGGGAAGTGAAAGATGAAAAGATAGATTTTAATTCCTGATCAATTTTTAGGGTCTTGCACGATGTCTTCTCAAATAGTTGATTTACATGGGGGTTTGGAGGTTCCACTGACTTCATTTTTGCATGTGAAGAGATATTTCTCTTCACGTTTTCTCTGCCTTTGCTTGGGCTGTTGGAAGTCTCTAGGTAAGAATGCTTCTGCTAGGACTCTCCTCAGGAGAGTTGCTGTGTGTAGAGTAGGAAGAAGAGAAAACCATCTCAAAAGCACTTCATTCCTTAAACCTGCTCTGCTGCTTCCTCTTCCAAGGAACAATGAGCTACTGCTCCTTTATGTCTTTCCAGTGAAGAAGTTAGGGTAAAGGAGAGCAACCGTGAACGTGGGTATCTTACCCCAACCTACCTTCCCAGTCCTCCTCCAGGGATGCTTCTGACAGAGTGATAGGGCTAAGAGTAGTAATCTCTGCCGTGCAGGTTTGTCCCATTGTCCCACCACACTGTGTCGTAAAATAGTTCTTAACACTTCTTACTGCACCAGGACCGTGGTTGTTGAATAGCCGTACAGTGCTGCTGACGGCGAGTTGTGTAGTCAATAAAAATTAGGATGTATCCCAATTAGCCATGGTGCTTAAAGAGGGTTCAGAAAATACGTTTAGCTAAAGTGTAAAATAATTTTAGAGAATTGGTTCTTTAGAGCTCTCTGTGGGGATGGTTCTGGGTACTACAGTCTGATAAAACTAGTTAAGGGGAAAAATAGTTTCAATGGCTTTGAGGTTTCTGCTAAAGTAAACCCTAGATTTTATTATTATTTTCTTCTAAATGAGGGATGAACAAACCTAGTGGAAGTAATAAGTGAATACCTGGGACCTGTTTAATCCTGCTTAATCTACAGGTGAGTGTGCTGGGCTACACCTCTGTGTGCTCTGCAAAAAAAAAAAAAAAAAAGCAGAGATAACCACATAATATGGATACGGACTGATCCTCAGGTATGCAAACTGGTCAAAATTTAGCCTGGCAGTTCTGCTCTGCTTCTCAGGTATTGGCGATCTCTCCCCATCAGCAAGGATGTCATCCTTGACCGACTGCCCTTCCCCTTGCTGGTGGAGGAGGCTCGGCAGGAGCGAGGTCCCTGCTTCTCAAGAAGGTCACTCGAAGGTTTCCTTCAAGCCCAGGCAGCACGCTTTCCTGCTTGCTCGCTTGCAAGTGATCGTTATGACCTTCTGCTTGATCTTCCTTCTGTTGTATTTTCTGATATGTTTGTTTTTCTTAAGAAGTTCTGCAATTAGGGAACTAATTGGTCTGCTGTTTTTCCTAGACGTCAGAACTCTATGGCTGAAATGTCCTTTGCACCTTGGAAGCCAGACATGCCTTTGCTTTCTGTTAGTTCAGGACAAAGCACTCCTGGGAAAAACCTTTGTAGAAACGAAGAGTAGGGAGAGCAGCTCATGGGAGAAAGGATGGTTACTTACCAATTAACCGTCCCTCCTTCATGGTGTGTTCCTTCTGCATGTGCTCCCATCGGCATTTAAAAGATAGTTGTTCACTATTTCTCCTCTATTTCAAAGTCCTACTGGGAGAAAGCAATTCTGAGTCTTTTAGAGAATTCATCGAGAAGAGCTCTGCTCCCTTTTTATCCAGTTTTGGAGCTCCCTTCTTCTCTTGCATCCCAAGGAGTGTCATCCAGAGCTTGGAAAGCCTCCCACCTCGGTGTGTGCATATTTGGTCACACGTGAACACAGGCTGAGTGGAGAACAGATTGAGAGCAGCCCTGCTGAGAAGGTCTTGAGGGTGTTGGTTGATGAGAAGCTCATCATGAGCCGGCAATGTGCGCTCACAGCCCAGAAAGCCAACCCCATCCCGGGCTGCATCCCCAGCAGTGTGGCCAGCAGGGCGAGGGAGGGGGTTCTGCCCCTCTGCTCCGCTCTGGGGAGACCCCACCTGGAGTGCCACCTCCAGCTCTGGGGCCACCAACGTACGAAGGAGTGGGTCCAGAGGAGGCCACAAAGATGCTCCGAGTGGTGGAGCCCCTCTGCTGTGAGGACAGGCTGAGAGAGTTGGGGTTGTTCAGCCTGGAGAAGAGAAGGCTCTGGGGAGACCTTAGAGCCCCTTCCAGTCCCTAAAGGGGCTACAGGAAAGCTGGGGAGGGACTCTGGATCAGGGAGTGGCGTGATAGGATGAGGGGTAATGGTTTTAAACTGAAAGAGGGGAGATTTAGATTAGATATTAGGAAGAAATTGTGTACTGTGAGGGTGGTGAGACACTGGTGCAGGTTTCCCAGAGAAGCTGTGGCTGCCCCATCCCTGGAGGTGTTCAAGGCCAGGTTGGATGAGGCTTGGAGCAACCTGGGCTGGTGGGAGGTGTCCCTGCCCATGGCAGGGGAGTTGGAACTCCATGATCTTTACAGTCCTTTCCAATCCATATCATTCTATGATTATATGTATATGCACATCCTCTGTTTTGTTATTGACATCAGGGAACTGCACCTTAACATCTGCTGGAAGCATGGTACCCAGCCATGCGTGCTGAGTAACAGATTCCCCTTGGCTGTAAG